ACTTGAAACTAAGATAGAGCTACTCCCCCTCTCATTCATTAAGACACAATAATCTAGATTTCGCCCAAAATATGAGATACCATTATTTACGGGCAAAGGAGTAATATGCAATTGATAAATTTTTTTTTTTCTTAGGTACAGTAGAACACTGTTTTATATAATAGTTTTCTTTCAAGCAATTTTCAAGTTCGAGATTTGAACGAACTTTCCATCCATCAGCCTAGTATTGAAAAGCTTTTAATTCGATGCGCAGAATAAATATGCCTTTCGAAAGAAAGAGGATCGTTAAGTTCGTATTCACCGTCGCTCCTTAATTTCTCGATCGCGTCGGATTAATTGATGATTCCGGGCACGTTAACTACCAGGGTCATTAGTCCCGTAAGTGTAATGCGTTTTTTTGCTCAGGAAGTGGCAGTGATCTTCCCCTCGCTGTACGGCGAAATCCTGCCGGCCTACCGACGATTAGAGGGGTTTTCCCTAACCAGGTATCTCCCACCAGCGGGGCACCACCCCAGCGGGGCACCACCCCAGCCGGGACAAGCTCTTCGCTCCTGACGGGTCTCCCGGCATGTGTGGTAGTGTAGTGCGTGGTAGTGGACGTGTGTGTGTAAGGGGTGAGGATAGGACAAGGAAGAGGAAGGCGAGATCGCGCGTGGTCCGTGGCCCGTTTATTAGCTCCGGCATTCGCCTGGCGCTGATTGGAGAAACCACGGGAAACTACCGATGAGAGCAGCCGGCCAACTAGAATTCTCCTCCAGACAGCGGCTGAATTCGACCTAGCTGACAATCTGCCACCGTCGGGACTCGTCCCTAGGACCTCACGGCCAGAGGGACTGCAGTGACATCAGTTGATGCTCTGAACCGAGCCATCTCTCCCGGTCCAATTGCGTCAGTATGTAGGTGTTTCCTAACAACCTTATTGCTTCCGCTTCTGCTACAAGCTTTCGAGAGAAATCGAACTCGCTCGACTACTACTACAGCGCCGTTAAAAGCGTTCTACATAGGACATAAAATGATTATGTGGGTCTCGTGTTGCAAAGGATGCGTGACAATATTTTGATGACGCATGAGTAATGCAGATTGTCGAGAAACTCCGTTACAATCACGAAAATGAATAAGAAATTAATATTTGAAAAAGTGAAATCCATATTAAACTTAAGACAAAATTATCAGGAAAAAACATCCTCTTCAGAAAAGAGTGTAATTAGAAGTAAAAGAATTGTGATTAAAATAATTGAGGGATTTTTCAAAAAGTCAACCTTAACTCAAAAAGTGAAATTTTGAGTTACTAGAACTGTTGCTAGTTTCTATGCCGCCATTTTCTGACTATCGTTGCGAACAAAATCAGCTCCTGTATGTAATTATTGACTCCTAAAGTTTGAGTATTTTTGGTCAGACAACTATATAAGTTTAAATATAAGTTGTATGGTGCAAAGTGTGCATAAACTTGTGCTCTCCAAATGATTTATAAAACGTTTCTATTATTTTTAAAATTTGTTTAGGAATTTCTTTATAAAAGTAGTTCCGTTTTATGTAAATATGTTTTATAAATAGAGTATTTTAATATTACATATTATTTCTGATTTTACATATATTAGATATTCTTACTGTTTTCATTACATATTCATGTACACATTTTTACGTTTCATACTACATATTTTTCCGGTCTCGAGTCATCATTACCATATCCGCAACGAGAATAAATGCATGCACTATGGTGTAGTCGTGGAGAAATTCCTCCCACGCGATCGTGTTCTTGAAGGTGGCCGGCACCTTTTCAGGAAGTACTCGGGCGGCGCCTGCGCGGGTCGGCATTAGCGATGCGACATCGATGCTTTCAAAACATCGATGTTTTTGTAGAAACGTTAATGTTATAAACTTCGATGTATTAACGCCGATGTTTTTTCAAACATCGACAATATGTGATCCATGTTTTTTTCTATTCCGATGTAAAGTTTCTGAATGAAAAACTTTCCACGATAACAATAAGTTAAAGTTAAAATATCAAATATGAACTGATAGTATCACTGTTATGTGTTGAAACCAAAACAACGTTGTTCGCCTTTCCTTCAACGACCAGACTCTCTCGCCTGAGATGACCTCCATGCCCTTGTATTTCCTATTTCTTCATATCCATTTCGCACATTGAGAAGCGATCAACTCAAGCGAGCACATTGAGCGCTGTGGGCGTAGGGTCGTCCCCTTCTTTTGGTACCCTAATTCGGCGAGTTGATAAACACGAACACAGTCAAATTAAATTTCAATGCGCACTAATTTAATATTAGACGTTACTAATCCAGTCTAAAAACATGGATGATGAAAAACATCTATGGTTTTTAGTCGGTGTATTTTTAACATCGATGTTTGCTAACATCGATGTTTCGTTACCGATGTTTCGTTACCGATGTCGCATCACTAGTCGGCATGTGGAGCGGAAGGCGGATGCAAGGGCAGCGTCCGCCTCCTCGGCGCGCCGTCAGCAGAGGCGGCGCCCACGTCCAGCGTGACGCGGCGCGGAGAAAGCACAGCCGGCGATGGTCAAGGTCGTCGTGTGTCGCCGCGCCGCCCTCCTTCGCCGCGGACTGGAACAGCGCCCCGCGCCCGGGACCCGTTCCGCGCCCAGACGCCGCCTCCCAGCTGCCCCCGGCTGACCTCAAAGCCCCGCCTCCCCCCCCCCCGGGCGGATTCCAGACGACGCGCTGCCGGCCTCCGGGGCTCCCAGGCAACACGCCGTTCCATTCCTGTGAAAGAGTCCATTCTACATAATGATCCTGAAATCGAAAAGTTTGGAGTCGACTTGGAATCGAATCGAAAGAAAAGAATCGATTACCCTACGGAATAGATCAAATGATAACACCGTTAACGAAGGTATCGATACCGAATCGAGCAAATACTATTTGATAAAAAACAACCAGCCAGTCCGGATGGCCGAGATCGTTAAGGCACTAGCGACCGAATGATCGCGGGTTCGATTCCCGCTTTGCGCATGGTTGTATTGTGTTCGTCCTTTCACCCCTTATCATCATATGGTGTCATTCTCACAGTTAACGCACCGTCACTCGCAATAGTAGTCGCTAATGACCTAACCGTTGATGCGACCTTAAATAACAAAAAATAAACCACAACCAGATTAATTAAATTTTAATAACAATTTAACTACGAAACTAAAAAATGTTGATGAAATAATACAATTGAAATAAAGTAACAGAATATATCAATGACAATATCTATTAATAGAACATAAATGAAAAATATAATATATTATAACATCAGTAGCATGAACAACTAATCAACAAAACTGTAACGGATTCAAAGATACACCACTTCACACAACGCAATCCAGACAGGTTTTTTTTTTTTCAAATTGAGATGCTAAAAATGTAATTTCAACCAAGAGGTTTGGTTTGAACGACGCGGAACATGACGACATGGTGAGAGGTAGAATTCACACACGATAAAGACTTCAACAAAATTAATAATAAAGTAATAACTACATTAACAATAAATGTAAACGACAAAAAATCTGAAAAGTACAACGGAAGTGAAGAAATATGCATATTTTAAAAAAAATCGGACGTATTCATTCAATTCGATTCTGGCCTTTTGAAATCGATTCCATCGAGAATTAGAAGCACCCGGACAGCCAATTAAATACGGACTCCGGCCGCGGAATCGTACGATCTCAAGAGTGGGAGAGTTGGTTGTGTTGACAACAAAACTATATCAAATCGATGCAAAATTGTTTCTATTGCACGGCAGCGAACATTGCTGGTATAAAATTTTGTCAACAAGGCTCAATACTCTCATTAAGTCTTAATTCAACTAATGTTGGTAGGTGTTGTGGTGCGTTGTCATTGGCATTTTTTATGAAATAATTATAGACGTTGTCATTGCCAACAATAGTATTTAATATAAGTAGTCGTTTCGTGGCTTTCATCCAGCAGGTAAGAAATGGCTCAACTTCTATGTTTTCTGTTAAAAAAAAATTACGTGTCCTATTTCTATTTCATTCGCTTTTCTTTAGTATTAATGACTTAACCCCCCCCACTTTTTTCTTTCTTCCAGTTTCTAGAATGTTAAATATATTTTCCCAAAAAATTGTAAATTATTTGTAACCTTTATCATAATCTTGTTGTAAAATCAAAGGAATATTCACGTTTTAATGTTCTTGTTTTTTTCTTCTTGTATCAGACAACTGATGATGATGACTAAGCCATCGAAAGCTGCTCATATATTAAATACTATTGTTGGCAGTGACAACGTCTATAATTATTTCACTTTAATGTTGGTAGTCCGCTTGTGAAAGATACCTGGTTGGGGATAACTTAGCTGACGGTAGTTCGGCGCCGGATCTCGCCATCTAGTGGGAGAAAGTTACCGCTACCTCCCGAAAAAAAAATGCAGTACACTTACGGAACTAATGACCTAAGCTGTTGTCGCGCTTAGTATCGCTAACAATCAATTATCAGAGGTTGGAAAGATATTAACTGTAGGTGCCTCGTTTGAATCAAATCTCATGATTCTCTGCAACGAGAGAGGTTTCCGTGAATCTATTTTATATGGGATCGTTGTTCAAGACCCGGTCAATGTTTATGAAATTTGTCATAGCAAAGAGGGTTTTACCGGAATTTTTATTTTTTCCACTGCTTATATTTGCTTTACATTGATACACCTTATTAATGCCCCATCTACTTTAAATGCACAAATTGTTCATTTTCATCATCTTAGATATTCATTTCCGCTCACAATGCCCATCATGTCTTTAATATATTTTGGCACACTGCGAGGTAATGGTAGAATTACCAACATAATTATATTAATAACGTTGGAATAAACACGTTATAATGTATGGTAATTTGAACGTTTCTCCCCATTACATCGAGGAAAATGCACTCTGGGTCACATGTACTCCAGTTCTGCCGTCTCTGAATTAGCAAGTGTTACCCTGACTTTCTTCTCCACTTCCATTTCTTCAACTTCCAACTTCATTCCCACCACCCACTATTCTTCTCATTCATCTGTCTTGTTATGAACGCTCGCTCTTAATTCTGGACCCAACTACTCTTGCTACCGTCGGTATTTCTTACAACTTGCGTTTGAACACCTTCATATGCGTGACACATCTGGTTTCTCTTCCTCATAGTTCTGACGGGTGAAACTATTTCTTCTAAAGGCTAGGTGCTCTCCCGACCACCTAGTCCACTGATTCCACTTGCATCGCCCGTGTTAAGGACATAATAAATCGCTGCTGAAGGCCATCACTGCCAATTACCCCTGAAATTATGCCACCGTGTCGTCTTGCGGTGAAACTAGTTCGCCGTACCCTCTATATACTGCAGAGTAATATCCGATTTCTTCACCTCATACTTTATTCTACTTTCACTTCTTCACTCTTAGAATCGTCTCATAATTTATTTTCCAATCTTTACAACAAGAGTCTTTAAACTGTTGAAAATGCCCTAGAAATGAATGTACTTCTATACTTCCGTTTAAAGCCAACGCCTTGATAGCGTTTTTGTATAATCTATTATTTTTTCATCCGTCAACTTACGAAAAAATTAAACAAAAATTGCATGACACAAATAAATACAGAAAATCAAAAAGATTGCAAAAAATATGCTACGGTTATGCTCTGTTGCCATACAAGATAACAAAAAATCATAAAGTAAAAAGATAAAAATAAAAACAACAGACGCTTTAAAATAGTTTTTGTCACGAATACATTTACATAAACATGTCGACTATAGTGGACTACTAAGTTGAGTGAATTTGTAGAGTTAAAGTGATAGGTTTGCACATATGATCACATTAAGCGCAGCATATCGTGATCAAAATGATAAAATATAATGCTTTATTTTGACATTTTAATTTTTATGAAAATTCTTATTAGATTGCATTGATTACCCACACGTGCTATAATCACATATTTGCAATTAGTGGAAAACACAACAAATAAATGAATTTAATTAGAGTATCCAATATAAATGGATAACAACAAGCTCATAAAAAAAATTTAAAAAAAGGTTACAATGTTAAGTTTTCGATGTAAACAGTTCCAAATGTGACATGAATGTTCTCAAGAAGAAAGCCGGACTGAGATGGACAACTTACAGCGTAGGCAATATATGTCAATTGGTTTATGAGAGGCAATCAAATTCCTCCTTTTTACGGTGTCTACTAGGTCAGTTCGTATGACTCGATCGTCTGCATTGCGACTGGTTCTTACCTCGAAGAGTTTCTGCGCTGCGATTGGCCCATTGGCGGCACTTCCGGTTCCGGTCCGAGTGAATGTTGCGCGCCGGAAGGGCCGTAGGGAGATCGAGCCTGTTCGCTCGGACGAGCGACGAGGGCTGTGAAACGCATCTCCTGCGATGAAATACTTTCGGCCGCAGACGGCGCGAGAGTGGACAAGTAGCTCGTCGGGCGAGTGTACATCTTCTTAATTTCTCCCCTAAGGATGTGGCGCTTACCTTGAAAGATGTGTTCCGGAGTTCTTGCATCTTCTTGTCAAATACCTTCATCTGAGCGAAAAAATTTTCAATTTCTTTAATGTATCAATCTATGTAAAGAACATCGACTAAACTATTTGTTTTATCTTCAACCCCAATTGAACTTTCTCTTTAATGCATCTTTGGAACACACCCTTGACCAACCGCTTTCTAAATTGTATCGTTTAGGATATCATACTAAATTAGTCTGTATAATACTAGATTTTCTACTCCTAACTACTATTCTTCTCTACTACTACTACTACTAATGAGATAAATATCTACGTGGTTGGATGAATGAAAGTACTACTTTGAAATAAGCTACCCTGCTAAAACCAGTAGCTATCTTTGAAATAATTGCTGTAATTTTTCTGTGTGTGGTTTTATGTTCTACTTCCAATTAAGAATGAAGTTCCTAATGAAATACATTTTAGCTCAGTAACGCAAGTGAGAGAACCATAGAGCACACGTAATATAACTAAAGCTTGTAGAAATTGAGGTAAATTAACTTCATTACTAAGAATTAATTAGGCGGTAAGAATACATTTATGAGTTTCTGGACACACATGCCTGTGAAATTAGAGCAACTTTCAAAAGATGATTGTCCAGGAGAAAATTGGAAGCGCAATGAACGCGTGGCAAACTGGTAATGCAATATCTACATCAGGTTGAAGAGAAAACCAATCAAGTGCGAGAGTAGCTACTCCGAATCGTAAATTGAATCAGGGACCTTCACGCTGAAACATTATTATTATTATTATTATTATTATTATTATTATTATTATTATTATTATTATTATTATTATTTTAGTTTGCAAGCTAGTGAACATTGATGTGGCTCACTGGTGAAAATTTAAAAACACAAAAATTGGAGACTTCCTGCATGCTTTCCACTTGCAAAACGTAAAACATACGACTTGTAGTGATAATGAATAAAACAATGATTATTTATTTATGTACCCTTTTATGTATGATTAAAAATGTACTTAAAACAAATTATTATTATTATTATTATTATTATTATTATTATTATTATTATTATTATTATTATTATTGTTATTATTGTTATTATTATTATTTCGATTATTATTACTATTATTAGCATTGCAATTATAGAGAATTTACTGTGAATTTGTTCAACTTAGTAACTCTTAAACTTTCAGGGGGTAGAATATCGTGTGTCCGCTGTTGAGTTTTTAATCATTACCAAAATTTTCAAGAGGCTAGTACGTGAAAAAAATTGGGACTGAGAAGGAAATTAATAAAATCAATTTGAAATTTGTACATTTTTAGCCAATGGATCAGTTTAAAACGATGCATGCTAAACGCTCATTGAGTTGAACATAATTAATTTAGTACCAAGATTTTTAAGAAAACCACGAAAACGCTTTTAACTCTGGCCATCAGTGCTAGTGCGAAAATTTTCTCACAGTTTTAAAAATGTCATACAACAGCAAACGCTTGCAGACTTTTGCGAGTGAGCGGAGGCAGCCGAACGCGAGGGGGAAGACTCGCCATCGGCCGAGGGACGCCCGGGGAACGCGACGCCGCGCCCCACCTGCCACGCCTCCCAATGGGCCCGAGCGCCACGGACACTTTGAGCCAAGGCAGTGCCATGGCGAACTGTGTTTTACGCTCCAAGTGTAGTGCAGTGGACTGTAAGTGGATGGGGTGAATGAACGGTTATATATATAATGAAACAAGTACGAATGATGTGTAAATTTAGAGGGAAAAAATAATCTCACCTGTTAAAAAAAGTACAATTTTTACAGTAATTAGTTAATAAATCGTCTTACCGTAAGTTAGGCATCCCGTAGTGCAGGTTATTTAACTTAAAAATTATATTAAATTAAACTTAGTTATTAAGTCAAAGTCCCTCCTCTAGCTGCTTAAGCTGCAACGCAGCCGTTTCATGTATCCAAGCAATATAAAATAAATTCCCCTCTCCCCAGGGCTCCTGTGGAGGGGACAAGAGAAAACGAATGCATCATCTGCCAAAACTGATTTATGAAGCAACGCTTTCCACGCCGCGTTTCCCCTACTTCCCCTTTTTCCATTGCTCACAATCGCTCTCGTTACTACCTCTCGCCTCCAGGAGTCCACTTACAGTGGTTGTCTGAGGTCATGGGCACCAGAGAACCAGCCAGACTTGAACTTCGTGAATAATCGACTGATGTAAAACAATGTTGTTGAAGTAGTATAGTATTACTCAAGACGACCCCACCGGAACCTCGTTAGTTAGCAGTTATTTGAAAAATCTGTCGGTCTTGTCAGTCTCATTTTCATTTGCCTGCGCTTCCGTTTGTAAAATGTCTACAATCAAGCGATTTTAACCGGTAAGTTAACTTTTTAGGTGGTGACTTCTTCTAACATTGAAATAAGTTCTTTTTGTAAGCAGAAAGAGAGAAATGTTTTGTTAGTTGTGCCAAAGAGCATATTTATGGGTTGGGTTTGTAGTAATATTACATAATACATTAATACAACATTTATAATATTAATTAATACAACATTTATTATATTATGAATTTTATGTTATTATTTCATCATATTTATGTTATTATTATGTGAAGGGGGCGAAAGTGTAGTGTTGTTTAGAAGCCTCAGTAAATATGGGGAGAAGTAAGTTGGTTTGATAATGATGATATTGCTACCAGAGACCGTCGTTTAGGTCGATATCTAAGCTCCCTAATCTTTCTCTTTTGCCGCCATTCAAGCTCCCCATGTGAATATGGGGAGAAGTAAGTTGGTTTTCTAATTTTGGTGAGGCAGTGTTATTGTTTTTGATGATGATGATGATAGCAATGTTGGCAGCAATGCCGGCCGAGGCAGCGGCGGCGGTGGTGATGGTGAGAGCGGTGGTGAAATTTTTAGTAATGGAGGAGAAGAATGAATAATTTGTGTTACAGCTAATAGTGACAGTATTGACGCAAAGCAGTGGCTGTACCGGCTGAGATGTTAGTAGAGCTCGTAGCAGAAGTGGTGGTGACGAGAAAAATGTTCGCGAGAGCGCAGCCGATTCCCTCAGGGTTACAGCGATCTGCGGTTGCGGCGAACATAGCAACGCGGCACTTGTGGCATCTGCGGCAGCAATTGTGGTCCTTGATGTCGTGGCCTTGACTGGGATTCGGGTGGTATTGAAGGCGGAAGTGAGTAAAAACCGATGATCACAATAAAAATTGAATAAACTGTTTGTAGAACGTGCAATGTATTTCGTGATATTAATAGGGAAATGACTCCACAATAATAATAATAATAATAATAATAACATAATCACGAATAAACAGATTTTGTCGTATATATGCGTATTATAAACATAAATACATTAAATCAAAGTATGAAAAAGAATCAGCAGGATCTGAATATATAATACGCCCAGAAATCAAAATATGAAATTCAAAATCCAAAGTCTGAAAGTCAGAACTCCTGTACACATAAAATAAGTTATTTCTTACCGTTTTATTTCAAATTTTTCAAAACATAAGGATTTCATATAAAAGTTAAACTTCTATTCATTAGACGCAGAAAAGGTATAGTGTTTTCAACACGATGGAATGGGTATTGTTACATTCGAACAAAATGTGTAAGACACTTCGGTGTTTCACATTCTCGTTTAATTTCTTATATATTACTAATTTCAAAAGCGCGAAGAAATTGAAAGCAAACTACCGGCCACATGAGAGACATCTATGGTTTCGTTTGACCCTCAAGAGAAGTACGAAGAAAAAGATTTAAGATTTTGACTGAAAACGTTTGCACACAAGTGCAATTATATTTCTTTATCCACATGTTAGGTTCAATATTGATTCCGTTTTATTTAAGAGTAATGTAAATTTTGATAAATTCAAGCACATCTTTACCAGTTTAGCCATACATTTGATTACGTCGTATTATTTCTGAAAAAGGCCTATTTTAGTGGCCATGCATTGTGTACCTATGATAACTATAGTGACTTACAGGATTAAGAAATGTGTCAAATGCAAGACAATGAACTTATTCTCGGTTGAAATATTGTAAAAGATGATAAAGCCATTAAAACATTATTTCACAGGGACAGTTGAGAGGCATGAGAGAGAGTACAGCATGTATAAACATTGGAAAGTAAAAAAGCGTCACTTCTGACACTATTTTTGGCGTACTTTTAGAACGGGAAAATACAACTGCGTTTGTCTTTGTTTACATTTGTAATGCCAATATCAAATTATTTCATGTAAAACATTTAATTCATTCACGTTAAATATTAAATGTTCATCTATTAGCTACTCTAACGTATAAATCAGCAAGTTAGTTACATTCATTCATTGTTTACGTGTAGTTGATGCAGGTAGGTAATCTCATATACATTTTTGTTCATATTTCATGAGCGATTGGAAATACCTTTGTCACGTCCGTGTTATGGTGTTTTAATAAAACTATTTTGATTATTTTCTCAATTCTGATAGGTAGTTGTGGAGTTGTAATTGCACGCATGACATAACACAGAGATAAGCAGTGATTTTCCATGGAGTTAATGAGCATATTCAGTTAACTAAGTGAAAAAGAGGAACAGGAAGAGGAGGAGGAGGAGAAAAAGATGAGAACTTGCAAAACGGAATTGTCTGGTCGTTGGTCTTCCACGCTCAACCGCTAGGTCGTAGTAGTAATGCCTTCGTGCAGCGCATCGTGAGTCTAGTACGCGGAGCGGGACTCACGCACTGGCCGCTCCGCAGTCAATCCCGCTGCGTCTCGCCCGGGGGCGCACTCTCGCACCTGCTGGCAT